CCCCAAAACCCCAAAACCCCAAAACCCCATCGAGAAGTCCATAGAAAATTTAGAGATAAGAAATTTTGAAGATAAAAATTGCAAATTAATAGTGAGATTATAATAGATTTGATTGATTTACTTGTATTTTTGAGATTTAATTTCATTTTTCTTCATAGCTCATTTCTTAATTGATACTATGATCCTCATTTGACCTAATAAAAGTTGTGTTTTTACTCATTCTATCAACTTGTGGAGATTTGAATCCACTTAATCTTTAATCTTTAGAAATTAAATTATTGTCTGAATCTTTTTTGTTGTTTGGTATGAATTCAGACTTTCCTCTCTCTACATCATAAGTCTCGGTGAAGTATCTCTAGTCCATATTATTATGATTATTATTAATTTATCTATCTTAGAAGGATATGTTATAGAAGTAGTTACTATTCTAGGTATCTGGAATGTTCAGCAGTTGTTAGCAATTACTTTTCATTGTGTTTTTGTTTGACAGTGTATAGATTGACCTCTTATTGTCCATTACTGGAGTAAGAACCCTAGCATCAGTCATTAAATAGCTTTCACCAAGTTCATCTTATTGGATAACACCCAAGTTACCAACAGTATTGATGTTGTTGGAGTTATAAACTTGACTTGGATGATTGATTAGACTTTTATTTGTGACAAAAGTATTCTTTATATTTCCAGGATTTGTTGTGAAAACACTAGATCTCATTATATCTGAAGATGATCCATCATCATTACGATAATAGCGTGATAACTTTTAGCCATAATCATCCTCCTAATTATACTTTTGTTTAGAGTTAAGAGAATCTTCAGTAGATTTCAAACTTTCATTATTGTCATCATGACGGGTTCTATATGATTAAAATTGCATATAAAATAGTAATTGTAGAGGAACTAGTATTAATGATGTATGTATAACAAGAAACCAGGGCCTATAAGTATTAATTACAAACTTTTAATATAGGTAAATTACTTAGATTCCAGGATTTATATATCAGATTATTTCTCAATCCTAACCCAATTGAAGATTCCTCTATATAGGAGACTGAACTAAAATATACTAGTTGTAATTGCTAATCTCTTCTTTTACTTAGAATGTTTAAATCGTTTCCTATCATTGAGATTGACATTAATATATCTCCATTAGAGTATATTTATGATGAGCATTAACAAAAATGTGGACATATAAATAGCACATTCATAAAGTGATGTTCTAGAGTGAAATTAGTAAAACAATTAATTTACGCTTAAATATTGCATTGCCTAAATTCACCTCTACATCCATCAATAGTTTTAATTACTATATCATATACGCATTAAATGATGATGATTATGACAAAAACTTGTAAGAACCTTTTCCAAATTCTTTTTCTTTTTAAGCTTACAAATACTCTTGATTTATCAGAAAAGATTAACTGCATGCTATATGGTATAATATAAATAGAAATTTACCAATTAAGTATGAATCCTAGTGCAGCCATAGGGAGAGCCATATCTGGATAAAATCGAAATATCGTATAGGGGCAGCAAGGTTAATAATCCAAAAAGTATATCATAATAAAGAATGTCACCATACCTAGAACCACTTTTATAAAATTAGGTTTAATTACTTAGGAGAAGTGTAATTGCGAAAAAATAGAACATTGCCAAGCTGAGGTTCTTAAATCTCTTATTTTTTTACAGTAGGAAAATATTCATGAGTGCAAAGAGAACAGTCAATAAGATTATGATTAAATAAGCAATAATTAAGCCCTATTCATAGCCCTCTAAAATAGTTTCTTTTTCTGAATATCCAGATTTTAAGTGAAAGTGTTCAATATTCTAGAGATATTATAAGCTTCCTAACTGAATACATAATAATTATAGATTTACTTTAGGCTTTATTTCTTGTTGACTCAGTATAATATTGCAATCCAGTTGTTTGCTTTGCTAATGATGATCATGAATCTGTTGGAAAATTGTAAAGTTCTTAATTAACTCTATTTCCACTCATTGCTTAATAAAATTTAAATAAATTATAAGATTTATTATTATTCAAAATCCATTATTGATAGAAAATGCCAATTTTCTATTCTGGGGTTTTGGGGTTTTGGGG